TAAATCATCTGTTGGAATGAACCCACTGGGAAACTCTCAAGCGGAATCGAACTCGCGAGCTCGTACCAACCTACCGGTATCGAAAACCAAGTCCAACCAGGGGAGTTAATCTTGACTCCCCCCAACTAGCATCTCACCATAATGTCGATCATACATCTATGCCGGCCTCTACTGTGCTTCCTTCGCCACGATTTCCTCAGCGATGTCTTCCCATAGCCGCTCCACTCTGAACGACTTTGACCAAGCCGCAATTGGAATGATACTTTACGGCGGTGTACCCGACAAAGTGAACCCACCTGCACACCCTCGGGTCCGACTCATACTCAGTTCACTGCCCTAAGAAAGGAAAGCGATCGGCATCTATACCTCCTGAGGGTGTCTGGAGCACAGGGGGCGGATTGCGACAAAAGAGGCTGATGACAGGGGAGGAACGCAGTCTCGACAAGACCGACGAATACTAACTGAGTTGAGAGAACGGACTCTATGTTAGGGATTGTCAGTTGCGTTCTACAAATGCGTATTTCACTCGTACTAAAAATGGTACTCTCTTGCGAATCATCGTATACCACTGACATCAACACCTTCCACCAACAGTTTCCCATGTGAATGTCACCACATAGAGAGCATTTTCCCCACTGGGAACGTTATTTCTTAAAGCTAGATGGATCCCTGATCCCATTGGTACAAGTCTTCCTCTGTTTTCACGCATCACAAACTGAGTGTATTGCCCCACTAACTGTGAACTCAAGCCCGATAGAAAGGATGCTCGTCGCAAGTCCTGCCGACCTCAGAAGTATCTCTCCATCGCTGCAACTGTTACTACGAGCACCATATAAGGGAGGAATTATACTGTTTTCAACGATCATCAAATGCATTTACTAGAGAGGCTAGAGTAGTCATAATATCCTTCAATGCCGATAATTATCCTTCAATAGACTGCCGTACCTAAATTGAATCTTACACGCTCGACCTCAAGATTCTCCCCAGAGTAATACCAGTCTGCGAACTTTCTTCTTGTAAGCCGGGTAGTCTTTCTTGAACTCAACCTGCCACATAGAGAATCCAACCCCTCCTCTTCGCAATGACTCTTCAACACGACTTACTGCAGCATCAACGTTGGCGGGGGAGTCCAAATTGGGGGAGGCCAGCATAGATATAACAGAAACCAGAATGGACTCTACGCTCAAACTAACAAATACACCCCCATGGAATTGAACCAGCGACCTTTCGGTTAGAACTACATCGGCCTCCATCGTTCATCTGCGGACTCTAGTTCATTAAACTGATCAGTTCCTGGAGGGTGCAGAATCGATATGCAAACTCGGCCATCTGGGAGGATAAATCGCATGGCCACATTCGGACCTATTCTGAATCTTACCTGGGTAAACATTAGGATGCCACATAGGCGTCTCGAAACGCATATCGGGAGGGTTGTTGGGGAAGTCCTCAGGGAACTGCAGTATTGCCGAAAAGAGACCGCCCTCATAGAGCGAGTCCGGTGGGCCTGACCACGGCTGACGATCCCTGGCCTCAAAAACAGCCGCTATTACCCTCGAAACAAACACGCCATTTGAAGAAATCCGAATCGTCTTCAAGACCAACCGAGAACCCACAAGAGTCGTCCCTCGTCAACTCTGAAGTAAATAAAATAGCTCCGTGAAGTTGGCCTCAAAATGCGCCATACCAATGAGCTGCTTCTTGAGTAGTTCGCGGGCAACAGACATCAAACTAGATTTAAACAACTGAGATCGATAGGGCCTGTGAGGAGACACGGTGGAATCCAAGGTTCAAGCGTGTAAGATACGAATGAGGTCAGCTAGAGGGCACACGCAGTAGACTGAGAATTGCATGATTGTGAAGCGACATGCGTGTTGACCCTCTACAGTTGTTTGATCGTGGTTTAGGACAACGAAACAAATCCTAGCTCGAACGGTTATATCGAGCGACGAATAGAACCGGACATTATCGCTCACCGTTTTCGCGCAGTGCATAATCGTTTGGAAATCGTTTAAACTTCGGTTCAAGCTCAAGCAGGCCCATTCCCAGGTCCGAGATGGTTTACACCATAGTACGGTGTATACCATCGAGTCCTGTTATCGTATGGCCACCATACGATGACACTATTCGACTTAGTTGTTGATGTCGGTCCTCCAGGAGGATCGTCAAGTTGCACGCAGACACCATCTGACTGTCTTCCATGTGTGGTGGCCCATGACAGACTCTAAGTAATTCAGACCGTACCGCAGAGTTTAACACGAGAGTCTCTCCGCGAGGGGGGAAGAAGACTATATATTAGAACTATCTCTTCACGACAGTCTCATCAACAGTCTTCTTGTTCGCAAACATGGCTTATATAATCAAGCGAGCAGCCCAACACAGCGTATTCCTACCAGAGAGCGAAAGACCACCACCAGGAGTGAAACCAGGACAAGATGAGAAAATGCCTCCACACGATATGTGAGAAAATTGATCTCTTTTTCCTGAGGGAAATTCCCGTCAGAGTGACGACCTTCACCACAGCAGCGTCCTCTCGGCAACCCGACCACACCTATCTAAGGCACACAACATCCACAGACAGATCTGAGTGAGCGTGAAGGGGTATTCCGACCTTGATTGTAGACAACTCGTAGATATGGTACGAGCTATTCTAATGTAACGAACATGGACTGCATAGTCCAACGGAAAGAGTTGGCGGAGCGGTATGAACAGCGAAGGTATGAGGAGGTCATCCCAACTCACCCTGAGGTTGTGGTTGAATAGGCAGCGCCAGGCGAAGCGGTCAGACCAAGTGCCTGAGGGAGCGACTGAATTCGACCGCAAGGCACACGAACTGTCCCGAGCGAACCATTGGACGGTGAAATTTTCCGTACCATCTCCCCGAGGCTTCCTCTCAGACTTCCTATCGCGCTGACTTCATAAATTCCAGAAGTCAGGGCGATTGGAGCCCAAAAGGGACGCAGCCACAAGTCAAAGGTGGATCGACTGCTGTTGTTCCTGCTAGGTGACCGTCACGAGCGACTGCAAGGAGATGACTGTCACGGTTTCAGGTGCGTCACTGAGGATACCGGCATTTCGACGTTTACTGAGCGCTATGGAGCTTACGGAAGCGCCCCGAGGGATCTCATCTCAGAGTAGGTGTCTCCTCTCTCTGGGGTGGGGTAACGCATGATGGCTTCCCTCTCCGTCAGTCGGAATGCATCCAAACTACCAGTTAAGGTAACGGGACTAGATGACGGCACAACTAGAGGTGAGCCCCTACAGAGAATTATGGCGAGTGAAGACGCTCGTGTTCAGGGAAGGCACACATTCCAGGGTATCAGGGCTTCATACCGTCCAACGTGCGCAACCCTTCCGTGAGGAGCCCTTCAGGGTACACGATCATGTAGTTAGTTCAGATCGTTTCTCAAGCTTTGGGCAAGAATGTCCGCGAGGCTTCCGACAAGATCATCATGACTGAGATCTACTCCCATAATATTCCAGGTTACGAAGGCTACCAGCCTACAGGTAAATGGGAAAAATTTTTCTTTTTTTTAGCAAAAAAATGTGTTTTTCGCGGCTTACATCGAAATGGAAACGGCGGAGAAAATTCGTCAATTGCAATCTTCACGCGTACATCTAGTTATTCAGACTCTACGAATGATAAGGGGCCGCGACAGCTGACAAGTTCGACAATTTACGGTTCGGACTTCGCCGTTAGAAATACGAACATGGAAAATTAGTCTCGAGATTACTCGTGAGGAATGCAGAAGTTCGTTGGAGCATGCATGATATGATGTTGTAGTCGTGACTGTCGCTGACTGTGTCAGCTGTTGCTAAAGTTACTATCAATGGTCCACTTATGGGCATCAACTCCATAGTAGACTCTTGAGGCTTCTTCAATTCTACTGGGCCAGTAGAATTGAGGCCAGCAGCACTGGCTCGTGTCACGTGACTATGCTTGAACTCGTACAGTGGCACTGCTACAGTGCGGATATCGCTCCAACAGATATGGTCCAATAAACCAACGCGCGCTTAGTGCCATAGCGATGATGGATGCCCGCTACGGGAAACCTGTCACGCAGCGGTATCAGACTACTAATAGCACTCGGAATCTCGAACTCAAACCGTGCTGACTCAGTCATGGGAATATACAAACTTGACACGAAGAATCTTGCTCGCCAATGGCGGCGTAGGACCGGGCTATTAGTCTTACAGGGTGCTTTCACACTGGCTCACAAGAGTTGACACGAAGTATACTTCTTGTTTTAACTTCGCCACTGTGATGTCATATGAAGGCGGACTCGTCTTCTGATTACAATCGGTTTGCGTCCTCTCGTATAACCTATACGATACATTAGCCCAACATTTCCCTATACGGTATAGGAAATTGTTGGGGGCCGAGGACCCACAGTCGGCAATAATTCAGCATGGACCACTGAACTCACGATGAATTCCTGGTAGAGTGAGCCGATCCAAGGTAATCTCAGCAAGTTGGACCCACACTGATGATGAATGTTCGATTAGTCGGATGCGCACCAATGCCATCTTTTTGTCTCCACGGTCTGTGGGATTGCCATAAGTCGCTCAATAACGCGATTTACTAGCGAATCCCCGCTGAAGCTGCATAACTAGGGCGCATGCTCAAGCCCCAGTAATACCGAGATGGTGTACAGGGTAGGTGACTCCGTGTCCTGCCAAGCAGACCTGGGCTGTAGAGCTATGGTTGTACAACGGCAGTCATGGCCGTATGCTGAGCCCAGCCCAGTACAGCCGGGCTAGCTCAATGAGCCCACCAGGCAGTTGTCAGTTCTCGAAGTCTTTGCGAGAATCGAGACGCAGGCCATGAGAGTAATCACACAGACCACTGCGCCACATTCATCTGTCGGCTGAGCTGATTGAGCTCCATTTCACATGTTCGAGCTAGTTGGTATAGCTCTGTCGCCCGAGGTGGATGAGTTTCGGGTCTCTGATACTGATGCCATTCATTCTTCGATTGTTCAGTTTCTCGTGATCATTCCGTTATGAAGTTCCTCAGTATCGTCGTCTTATCCTCCCTCGGTGTAGCTCTCGGTAGTTCCAAAGAGTATTGCCAGCAGCTTTGCGACGAGACTCCCTCCTGTGCCACTTCCAGCTGGGGTTCATACTGCAAGGGTAACGGTGTATGCTTCGGTCTCCTGCAGAAGGGTGACGGTGAGTACTGCTTTCAACCAACCGATCCTTCATGTGATGACTCTGTTTACCAGCCGGTCTCTTGCCCAGTGGTGCCTCCATCTTGTGAGGATGTCTGTGATGATCTGACGAGCTGTCGAACCTCAAAGTGGGGCTCCTATTGTAAGAGTTGGCAGAATCCTCCTGTTTGCTTCGGTATTCTCCAAAAGGCCGATGGCAGTCTGTGTTTCGAGAGCACAGAGCCTGAGTGTGCTGGCACTCCTTACCCCTGCCCTAGTCTGTAGTCACCATTGCCAACGAGCAATCCCTTCTGATTTGTATGACATATCTCCTGATATGCATTGCAATACTGACATTCGTAAGTCCTCTATTGAGTTATCGATCTCTATTATTCTGTTATGGCATTCGCTGTGTTTTGTTATAACTATAGGGTGTGTCCTGCAATATTCGGGAAGGATGAAGAGTACCGATTCTCAGGGGGAGGGGCAGGGGTGTAATTTCTCCTGAGGAGATTCTCCTCGCAGCTCTCCCGTTTCGGTGTGTGACAACAAGCGACTGCGCGGAGGAACCTCCGCGTGCGCACGTAATGTGGACCTGTGGTACTGCAGACCATAGAACTCTTGCTTTCTTGTCCGCTTG